AAAATCACACTTGAATCATCTAACATAAATAAACAAAAAAGAATTTATCTATAATATACATTAAGTAATTATTTAGTTATTTAGTGTTTTTTTTATTGGGGTTGTAATATGTTATTTCTTTCTTTTTATCTTAGGCCATACTTCGTTTCTACAATGATATTTTAATAATAAATTAATTTATTTTACTAAACATAATATTCACCACAGCACGTAACACTTTACTAATACATAGATTGACCCACAAATATGTGTCACAAAAATGGCATTACAGCTGGTAAACAACAGGTGTGGACCCCAGTTTTTCTTGATTTCCCTCCATTTTTAAATGAATGAAGGTTAAACTCCCCAGGTGCCATTTCCATTCCAGCCAGGTCAATTTTCTTACATCCATTGAACCCAAACACACACATTCCATAAACAAACACCAAGAAAACATACACAAACCAAGAAAGAAATTAACAAGAAAGAAGAAGAAGAATGGTGATGGTATTTCAAAGTTTGCAACAACAAATCCAGTTCACAATTTTTCTCACAATTGTGATAGTTGGGACTAGCAATCCCGATTACAACTTGAAGGGTTTGAAGGAGCTGCCAATGGTGGTCGATTGGGAACGGAACCTGTGAGGAGGCCCTGAAGAAGTCGAACTCAACTGGCTATGCTTGCAAGAGTCTGAATTCAGAGTGTTATGAGGCTAGTAATGGTTATGGGTACAGGTGTTCTTGCATGCAGGGCTATGAAGGAAATCCTTACTTACTACACGGTTGTCGAGGTCAACTCAAAATACCCTTTAATTTTCTCTTTATTTGTGTGTTGTTTGGTGAAAAGAAAAGTGTGGATTTATTTACTTTGGTTTAATCAAAGTAAAAGAAGATTCTACTCGCAGATATAGACGAGTGCCGAAATCCAAGCACGTATTGCGTAAAGAAATGCAACGGAAGAAAGGATGGAAAAGACTGCATACCAAATGATTCTGGTTATCCACTTATTTCCAGAATAGTCACAGGTTTCACTCACTCTTCCCTTCCCTTTTGTGCTAGGCTAATAGCTTTGTGAGATCAACCTTTTTCTTTCTATGATTAATTATAAACAAACGTTTCACTCAAATTTGCTAATTTCAGATTTGTGGTCTAGAAAATGCAACTACTTATCGTTGTTGAATGAGGTTACATACAGTATTTGGATATTCCACAACTCCATCCAGTGGAGCAACAGAAATGTTGGACATTTCTGAGCTGGGGAATAACGAGGAGCAGGTTATGGAAGTTGCTGAGCTGGCGAGGAGCTGTCTGAACGTGAGAGGGGACGAGCGGCCGAGTATGAAGGAGGTGGCGGCGGAATTGGAGGGGCTGGGAAGAGTTGGAGGGAAACATTCATGGGTTGAACCAAAGGGAGAAGAGAATGCAGAGTCTTTTCTTCTTGGTGATGGATTATTTGATGATAGTGTTAAGGATCATATGGTAATGGGTGGTGGGAGATGATTGGTGATGGTGTGTTTCATGTCAGATTTGGTGTGCAGATCACACAATAATGTTCATTTTCTGTCATTTAGTTATCAATTATTCCCAACTTCTTTTGGTCCATGTAAGAGTGATAACAAGTCCATTACAAGTCACATTTGTTCTTTCAAAGGTTTGTGTGATGATTTAGAAAAACACGTTGGTGACAAAGAAAATGCATTTTGTTTGCTCACTGGTACAACAACTACGAAATCTTGATCAAAGACAGTAGTTGGATGAACAACACAGATGTGGTTATCAACTCATTTCATAACTCAATGGCTTTTTTCAGCCAACACCAAAAATCTCATGGAGCATCTCCAAATTTATATTATCGGGACTAGGTTTTACCGCAGCACAATACTATAAGAATCCCGTAGGATGCACCGGGTTTGTGCCGACATTTTTTCAAAATTTTATTTTAACATTGTATTAGTATGCTGACCCATTTATATTAATATAATTAAAATGTTAATAAATATTTTAATATATATATATATATATTTATTTTTTAATACTAAAAAAATAATAAATTTTACATATTTTGGCTCATCCTAATAGTCAAATATTATTTTATTTAAAAATTTATTGTCGTATAATGCCATTATTATTTATAACACGTCTAGAAGTAATTTTTTTTACATAAGAATAAATATTTAATGTATATTAATATTATTTATTGATGTGATTAATTTAAAAATATATAAAAAAAATTTAATGTTTGTTAGGAATGTGATTATATGTACGTTAAAGATAAAATGGAATGTATCCAAAAAAATCTACTTATGATATTTTTCTTTAAATGTTTGAGTGAATTTGAAATTGAAATTACAAATCAACTGTCAGTGTTTTAAAAAAATTTTAAAAAATTACCAGTTGTAGTAAAATTTAAATTTTTAGGTGGTATTTTACTTTCCACCTAAAGTAAATCCTTATTGCTATTTTATAGTAACTAATACGTAACCCGTACGATGCACATGACAATAATTATAATTTTATATATTAAATCAATGAATGAATACCAATAAGTATATAAATGTTTGAATGAATTTGAAATTAAAATTACAAATCAACTGCCAGTTTTCTAAAAAAATTTAAAAAAATTGCCAGTTGTAGTAAAAATCAAATTTTTAGGTGGAATTTACTTTCTACCTAAAGTAAATCCCTATTGCTATTTTATAGTAACTAATACGTAACCCGTACGATGCACATGACAATAATTATAATTTTATGTATTAAATCAATGAATGAATACCAATAAGTGTATAAATTATTTTGAATATTAATAATTTTTTTTTACTTTATGATATATAATAACTAGTACGAATCCCGTGCGATGCACAGGTAAGAGATATTTATTAATATTTATAAATTAAAAATGCTCATTAAATAACATTTATAAAATAAAAATATGAAATCAACATGTAATACAATTTACCTATATTAATTTACATAAAATGTTATATGAAATTTAAATTGTACAACATTACATAAAAAATGTCTATTTAAAATTAGTACATGATCCGTACGGTGCAAGTAACTGATAATAAATTACATTATATTCATTTCAAAGTAAGTGTCATTTTGAACTTTTTTGTTCAGAAATTTGATTTGACTACAATGTGATTTTATAAAATAATTATTTTGGTAAAATTTTATTATATATTTAAAAGTATATGTGAATAATAAGTATAATTATAAAACTCATATAGTTTCATTAATAAAAATGAATTTATTTTTTATAAACTATCCAAATAAAAAGAATTAAGTAGTTGAGTAATTTATTATACGATAAATAATTGACTATTCTATTTACATCTAAGTTAATATTGACTCATAAGTTATGACTAATTACTTATTTTAATTTTAAATTTAGAACCAAATTTAGACTACATAATTTATATATATATATTATCTCGCAATTTTGTAGATTTGTTGTCAGTTATCTTATCGTTCAAATTAATTAATTACTTCTCTATAATTAAATTACAAATTTTAAATTTTATAAACCAATATTTGTTCAAGGAGCTTTCTTATTTTCAAAAAGGAATACATACCAATTTGCCGAATTATCATCAATATCTTATGAAAATTTAATATAGAAATATGCTAAAATTTAAGAACCATATCACCTTGATTTTATTACAACATGACTTTCATACACATACCAAATGAAATTCATACCACTTATTTTATTTTCAAAATTTTTAAATACACTTTTATACATACCAAATAAATTATATATATATATATATATTAGCTTACAATTTTCTAGATTTGTTGTCGGTTACCTTATCGTTCAAATTACTTAACTACTTCTCTATAATTAAATTACAAATTTTAAATTTTATAAACCAATATTTGTTCAAGGAGCTTTCTTATTTTTAAAAGGAATACATATCAATTTACCGAATTGTCATCACTTTCTTATGACAATTTAATATAGAAATTTGCTAAAATTTAAGAACCATATCACCTTGATTTTATTACAACATGAATTTCATACACATACCAAATGAAATTCATACCACTTATTTTATTTTCAAAATTTCTAAATACACTTCGATACATACCAAATAAATTTTATACCAAAATAAAATTCTCACTTTATATAATAAATTCGGACATTTATTATTAACAATACATTTCTACCAAAAATAAAAATAGTCATCAGATACCTCAAATAAAATCGCTCACTTTATACGAAAATCGGATTAATTAGTTTTGCCAACTTTATATAATAAATGATTAATTCATTTCTAGAGGCGGACTTTTTTGAAAATTTTAGAAAAGAACTATTCAGTTTAGTAACTTTTAAATTTTATAGGCACAATTTTAGTTAATATCAAATAAATACAAACTTTTTTATAAACCTTTTTATAGATATATAGATATATATGAATTTCAAAATACATCCTTTTATTTTAGTAAAAAATCCGTTCTTAAGACCATTAAAGTTTTTTTAGGATATATTATATAAAAAAATATTTACTTTTAATTATAGTTAATTATCATATTTTTAAAATTCACAAGGATATAATTTTCAAGAATTTTAAGGAATGGTTTGAATGCTAAAATGATACTTGTTCATTTCTCCCAATTACAAACTCAACCACGATTTTTGTAAAGTGAGAAAGTGTAATATATATTATGTGTACATTTTGAAAGTATTTATTTATACTAATTAAATCATGATTATGTAAAATATAGTGAAAAGGATAAATCCAAATAAATTTCAATGATCATGGAGGAATGATCTTATCAGAAACGTTAGTTGTGAATAAGTATATAGATGTTACGGTAAGATATAATGTATCCAGATAAATCATTATTGTTTCATTTAAATGTTTTAATTTAATTTTTTTTTCCAAAAAATTTCAAAACTCATTTAAACGGAAAATTTGAAATTTAAAAAAAAAAATATTTGTTTTAGTAATTCTGAAATTTTAGACGAAATTTTAATTTTTATTTCAAGTAAATACAAATATTTTTATATAGATATAAATATAGATAAAATTACTCAACTTAAGACAATATAGATATAAAGAAATTATGCTATTTATATTATAATTATATCATTATCGTGTGATTGCCTACTGAAGTAGTTGGGCTACTTAATTATTTAAGAACACTGTTATCTATGCTAATTATGATTCAGGAATAACCAAAATGTTTTTTCCTTATAGGTCCGCCATTGAGAAAAAATATACACTAAATTAATTAGAAAACAGCTCAACATGTTAATAGAAAGTACATAGCAATGAATAATTCAAAATTTTATGTACATATATAGTGGCGGTAATTAATGAAATATTTTTCTAGATCTCGCCCACTATATACTAAAAAAAGATTCATTAACTTTGCCAAAACAATATCATAAATTAATTAATTTATTTCTAAATATAATAATTATGATTTTTTGGCGGGAAATAGTTGTTATTTCAGAAATAATCAAACCTTTTTATATATATATAGATATAGATTTAATATATGATTCATATATTTATTTCACTCGTTATAAAACACTTGTCATTTTAGATCATGTTTGTAATTAAGGATAATAAAAAGTTAACATATTCAACTATTATTAATAAATAATACTCAAAGAATATTTATCTCTCTCTATTTTCTCTTATACGTACCTTTTTTTTTTGTACAAATAAATATATATGAATTGTAAATGTATAATAAAAATACTATTGTGTAGTGGACAAATAATTTTGGGAAATTTTTATGTCTGTTGCATGATTTTAAATTAATTGCAATTTTACCATACAAGTAGAAATAATTATGTCTATACCTAAAAGACATTATTTATCTATATTAATGCCTAAAGTTACCATTTCCTTCCAACCCTTATTCCCTTATCCCCTTAATTCACGCAGGTTATTTAATAGAGATATCAGGTGGTATATATTAGTATATATTGAAATGAAAAACATGTGTTCCATCAAAAAATTATGTCTTTCTTTTTTTTTTATTTTTATTTTTTTACTTTTATACATAAAATACATATATAATTTATAAACATATTACAACAAGTTACTTATATTTCCTATTACAAAAAAAAAAAAAATCTTGTAATATACTGAACATATACTCTTTGTACACACAAAATATACTGAACAGATTAAAAAAATCTTCTAATATACTTCTAATATACTTAACATATACTCCATATATGTTCTTTAAAAAATCTTGTAATATACTGAATATATACTCTGTACACATAAAATATACTGAACAAATTAAAAAAATCTTCTAATATACTTCTAATATACTAAACATATACTCCATATATGTTTTTTTTTTCTTATTTCGATAGATCTCACCATTCCCACTCTCCAATACAAAAACTTTTTGCCTAATCCCAGTTTCAATCACCATTCGATTAGTTGGTAATAACATAATAATTTGCTCCATCTAGTGAAATAGGTTTTTAAGATCCAATTTTTAAGCAACAACCCACCATTATCTACTTTCTTCCTTATCAATGGGCGCTTCACAGTCGGCTCAAATCCCATCTGAAGACGAGCAACAAGGAGAAGAGGAAGATGAAGACGACGATGACGTCGAACGGGCGGTAGCCTCCGCCATGCTTAGATCCGGATCGCCACTTCATCTTCTTCTTGAACGAAGAAAAAAGAAAAAAAGAAAAAACAGAGAGAGTAAGAGAGAGAAGGAGAAGAATAGATAGTTGATTGAGAGGAGAGAGAACCGAGAAAACTTGAACGGTTTCTGCATAAAGACGGGGATCGTAGGCGGTGGGGGTGGTTACTTTACCTTCTTGTTTTCACTGTTTTGGTAAGTTGATATTTAATTAAAATTAATTATCTCCTTACAATTAATAATATATTAATAAGGGTTATGTGTGATTTAGGTAGATTTGATAATTTTCTTGCTTCTTTAGCTAAATTTAAAAATAAGTATAAATGAGGTGGAAAGGTGTAATATAATTTCTAAGATTTAGTAAGGGGTGTAATATAGTTTCTATGATTTAGTAAGGGGTGCAATTTCCTCAATAATTTTCTTGTAAGCTAATGTACAGTGAACTATTGGGCCTAGCCCAATTTATTATGTTAAGTTTCTAGATAATGGGCCACACACAAATAGCCGCCACTGTGTTATATCAGAAAACGCCGCGCTTTTCTTTTTTAGCTTCTCCTCTTCAAAGCCACCGGCGGCGGCTCTGAACTCACACGTCGGCGACTTTCCTCAACGCTTATCGTCGAATAGCTTATTGTGCTGAAAGGTAACTAATTTTAGCTCCTTTTGGATCTCTATTTTTTTGACCAGAAAGTTGCGAGGGTTGTATGTATTTCTGAACTGGGGTTTTGAATTCTTAATTTCTCATGTCTGTTCTATCTCTCTCTCTGTCTCTCTCTCTGTGCAACAGGGGATCTTCCTGATACCCATTTCAGCCTGAGTCTGCAGGAAACTGAGACGCTCTTGCCTTGGATTTTTATAATCCCAGTTGCTATATTAGAAGCGAATTCATTTCGATAAGCTTAAAGTAGTTTGGAGAAATGGCTTATCAAGGTGGAAACTTGAAGTCGACCACCATAAATGGAGTGAAAGTGTACACCGTCACCGCTAGCCGCTCGAATGCTACATGGCTTGCTCCTAAGAAGCTCAGAGCACTACGGAAAAATCCAGGTGATAAACTAAGCTAGAAGATGGACAATTTCGTTCTCAGGCTTTGCTTGTTAGTCGATCTTACTGATCCTTATTCAACCCCAATTCTCTCTCTATATATATATATATGCGTGTGTGTGTGTGTGTGTGTGTGTGTGTGTTTGTGCACGCACGCGCGCTAGAATGATAATTTAGTCTTTAAATCTACATAATGTGATTGTAAGAGAAGTTGTATAGTAGCTGTATCATAATATGTTGCATACTATATAATGGCATTTGTTTGAGTAGTTTTGCCGTAAGTCGAGTTTTGTTTCTTGCTGACAAATTTCACCATTTTAAGGAGATTTAAGCCGTTGGCTTTATCTTGGCATATGATGATTTTGTGAATAATGGATCTTTTGCCAATCATTTGTCAGATTATTTGCAAAGGATGGAATTCATACAGGACTTGAAGTTTGAGACTGCGACTTCTAGAATTAGGTTCACTCCTGATGGGGAGTATCTTATCGCCTCAGGTAATTATTATACTTTACGTGCACCAACTGTCAGAGACGGTATCTGTATGTCATGAGGTTTATTAATTATTTACACTTCTTTCTTATTTTTTTCATTATTTCCCATCAGGTATTTACCCTCCCCAAGTCAAAGTGTATGAGCTTAGGGAATTGTCATTGAAGTTTGAAAGACATTTAATTTCTGAAATCATTGACTTCCAGGTAGTGTTACATTATACAAATTAAGTTCGATGAACTTGAGCTAAACACGTGTGCTGAACTTACTTTCTGTCGTCATTTATCTATTTTCAGTAATGTTCTTATAAGTATTGTTACTATGTGCACTTGATAAATATCCATATCAACGTTTATTTTTGTCCTTATATCCTTTCATCTTATGGAAATTTGAGGTTTTCCTGTCTATCAGGTACTAGATGACGACTATTCAAAGATTGCATTTTTATGCGCTGATCGTTCTATTTGTCTTCATGCAAAATATGGGAGTCACTACAGCTTGAGAATCCCCAGGTCTCTCTCTCTCTCTCACACACACACACACACACAAATGACAGCAAAAAAGGGAAACCCTATTATGTGTTATATTTAACACTAGCTTTTGCCAGTTCCTTCCAGAAAATATTCTCATGAATAATTCTCACCAACAATTTCCTGATACTATTTCTCTGTTGGATTCTATTAATTACACCAAAGCTAGTCATTTCTTTATGCTTCAGTTGATGACATTACAATGCATCTCCACTAATAAGTTTCCCGAGAACCTGCCAAAGCTTGGATAAAATGTTGCTGAAAGGAAGTTGTTCGTAACCCTGTGACGTTGTGATTATTTTTCTAACAGGATGGGAAGAGATATATTATATGACAACTGGTCTTGTGATTTAATTTGTGCTGCTTCCTCTCCAGATCTGTACAGAATTAATTTAGAACAGGTTTGTTGCTGCTGATAAGTTTACAGCCTTGATGCTGTAAATGCTATCACTTCTTGCTCTCGACTCCTCCTTGTATGTTCACACACAAGTAGACAGCCTCTATGTCAAAACATATTTTCCGACCTCTTTATAGTATTTCAACTGCCTTTGAATTTTCCAGGGCTAATAATGTATTTTGCAGGGACGTTTCATGTCCTCACTCAGCACTCAGTCACCAGCTTTGAATGTTGTGTCTCAAAGGTTGGCAGAACCTTATTTTTTCCTTTTACAGAAATTTTATGATCCAGTTATTCCTGTTTTATAAATTTTCCTTTTCTGGTGTTATCAATCTTGCCTATGAATGAATATTTGAATGCTCCTTTTCTCTATTCAGCAAAGTCCATGGATTAGTTGCTAGTGGTGGTGAGGATGGAGCTGTTGAATGCTTTGATATGAGGACAAGGTCTTCTGTTGGTCGAGTAGATGCTGCTGCATCTGCTGGTGAAATTGATGGGGTAACTAGCCTGTTAGCTTGTTTTATTTTCATTTGTTTTCTTAATCTCACCTGAAAGACTTCTTGTGTCATTTTCAAACTCTACTTTCAAAACCTATGTCTCACCTATTCACACACGCTTATAAATTTCTTTTTGAAACTGCATTGATATTTACCTACATGGAGAACACTGAAAGATGATGACTAACTTGTTATCATCGCTGTTAGGGATTGGTTGCTGTTTTGTTTAATTCAGTTATTGGTTTTTTGCACCCGTTGGATTGGAATATCTGTTAGGGTTATGACTATCTAAGCAGACTACGGCTGTCTACCAGTTTCTTTTTAT